GTAAACATATCGTGGCCTAAAGCAGGAAAAGGGGAAAAAAACCAAAAAGCAAGGAATTTTCTTAATGAGGCTTTCACAAATTACCATTTTCAGGTTGTAGCCCAAACAAGTAAAATGACCAAAGGACATTAGGATCTGGAAGAATATTCAGAGACTATAGAAAGTGGTTTAGTATCAGATATTTAAAAAAAGATTCTAAAACATATTTATTACACTTACAGAATGGAAATTTCCTGTATATACATGGAAAAGATGCATAATTACACACAGATATTGCATATATGTGTATATACATATACACTGCATGTGCAAAATGTACACACATAGACTATACAGCTTAATAAATGCTTATTATAAGGATGGGTATATTTCACAGCAACCTCTTCTTGTAGAAAATTACCATTACTCTGGAAATTATGAATAAGAAAGATATAACCTGCTATTGCAAATAATGACATAGTGATAGTCATTACACAACCTTGGATAAGATAATATATCACCCACAGCGTCAATATGGGCAGCATCTGTTCCTGAAGGGATTCAAGAGATACTTGTGAAGCCAGAACAATGAGAGCTTGGGTTAATAGACTGCAAAGAAACACATGATTTGTTTTCCTTGTATTACTTATTCTAATTTTTTTTTTTTTTAAGATTTGAAGGAAAAAAAAAAACTAATGAGAATAAAGATGATACTATTTGAAATAGCTGGTCTGCTTGAAATGCAATTTTTAAAATTTGCAGCTAGGAGCTGTTCAATAAGACAGATCATACATAAGCTTATTTTTCTCTTCCGGATGCTCATCTGATTACAAGCGCGCATTTAGAACAGTTTAGTTTTCACGTAGAAATCCTCTTTATACACACACACACACACACACACACACACACACCCTACTCTCTCTTTTTCCTTACAACTGCAAATCCTTACGTCTGGACTAAAGATACTAAGAACCAGACGACGTGTGAAAGCAGCTGGAGAAACCTACCTTTTTGTTGATCAAACACAGATGGGGTGCTGAAATCCATGGTTGCCTGTCTCATCATTCACCATCAGAATGGCAAAAAGCATCGGGGCTCTAGAGAAGAGAAAACACACCATCTCACAGGTTCCAGTCAACACAACAGTCAGTAGCAGCATCTCTTGCCAAGACTTCTGTTTGAGAATTAACTGTGCGTTACAGCTGCAGGTTGTTGTCAATGCAAATGATGAAAATAGGTAAATGTTACTCCTGTAATAACTGCCGGGAAAAGAGTTACTTCTTATGACCTCATCCAGCAGCTCTACTTGTACATAAGTATTACACATCCTCCATCCCCAAACAAATAAAAAAAGCCTAAACCCCCAAAACAGTAACCAGGGTGGAGGACACCTGCCTTGGATCTTGGCTGGGAAATCACTGCAGGTCACAGAGCTTCAGCAGCTGGAATGTTGCTTTAAACCAACAGAAATCTCAATGGGTGAGTGAGGCTTCATAGAGCCAGATGGAGCATGTGCAGAGCTGCCAATGCAGTTTGGATTCGGCTGTGCTCGTGGCGGAGTGAGAACTGCATTTGGGTCATGTGAGCAGACAGTGCCATCTCAATGGAATAGGATGTAAATATTGTAGCAGGAGGCTGCTGGCCATGTGCTATATAGAGTAAT